AGTCTCAGGCTCGGCCCCTGCTGTTGCCAGATGCGCGAGAGTTCAGGAGACGGAACTGTCCACGCATTATCCGGTCAAGCTGGTACTCAGGACTGGCTCGCACCTGTAGCGCATTCGGGCGTTGGCGAAGCCTCGGCAGCTTCTGGCAGACCTTCCTGTAGGGCTCGCGCCCCTGCCTCCGCCTGGTTGGGAGCAGTTTCCGGATAGGTTGGAGAGCAACGTAGAGATCGCTGAGCTCACGGCATAGCAGGCCAAGTCTACCTTTGCAGAGTTCTGTGATCTGGCTGAGCAGGAGTTGGTGGATATTTATCAGATCGACCCTTTTCAGGCTGACGGGAAAAATGGAAGAGGAGCCACCTTCAGATTTGCTTGGAGGCCAGCTTTAACCAAGGTTGGGGGGCCTTACCCTCCGGGGTCCCCAGTGTCGAGGGCTCTGAGAAGGTGCCATGCCAGGTTGGAGGAGTTGCCGTTTTCGCTCCGCAAGGGCCGTTCAGGCCAGGGCCAGAAGGTGCAGGCCCTGCTGGGGCAAGCCAGGGAGCCGCCCAATCTCCTGTGGGAGAGCGAGCGCTGGGTCGTCTGGAGGCAGAAGCATTTGTCGCTGGAAGGCTACCACGCCGAGGCGCTGCGCGCAGCTATCCAGGAACACGTTAAGTGCATCCAGAGCGAAGAGCAGATCTGGAAAAGGTTTCGACAAAAAGAATGGAGGCAGTGGGCCTGCGAGGCCCTGGAAAACGGCGGGGGGAACGCTCGCGAGAGGGCGAGGCAGCCCAGCGACTGGACCCCCTCGGACCCAGGCCTCGATGGGGCCCCCGGAGGTGTTAAGGACCAGGTGGAGGCTCTGGAGGAGGAGTGGAAGTACATCTGGAGGTTCGGGGAGGCGCCCAGGATCGACTCCAAGTTGCTCAGTGAGATGCCCCTCGAGGGCCCGAATGCACCTGTCTCGCCTGAGGTGATAGGGTCTGCCTCGGGAGAGTTCGGGAAGCACGCGGCCGTGGGTGTCTGTTACTGGTCCCCGCGCGCTCTCAAGGAGCTCAGTACCTCTGGCCTGCTTGCGCTTTGTGTTATGATGTACCTGTGGGACACGCGCACCCTGTTGCCAGATCAGATCGCATGGCTCATGTTATCGTGTCCGCTGAAGCCTGAAGGAGGGAGAGGGCCAATTGGGATCATCTCTACACCGGCGCGGGTCTATAGCAGGACACGGCATGGGGAGGTTGCAGGGTGGGAGGACAAGCGCCCGCGCACGTGCATGTATGGCGGCAAAGGCAAGAGTTGCGAGATGGCGAGTTGGAAGCATACCCTGATGAACGAGGCCGCTCGAGCCAGCAACTTGTTCAGTGGATGCACGCTGGGTCATCTGGAGAAGGCGCGTGGCTGCATCGCTCATGAGCAGTTGGCGAAGGCATGCAGGAAGCACGGGTTCAGTTTGAGGAGGTTGAGGTTTCTTCCTTTAGTCTACTCAGGCTTGCGCGTGATTAATGTAGGTGAGACAGTCTTTCGAGCTGAACGCCACGATCGTGGCAGGCTGCTCACATGCGACAACGTTGCTGAAGGCAGTTCTTTTAGATGTTTGACGCGGCTGCCAAGCAGTGGCCGAGGATCGGCATCTCTCTGATGGTGGACGACACGGGGCTCCAGGCCGTGGGGGGTCAGAAGTATGTTCAGAGACAGCTGGTCAGTTGCACCTTGTTCGTCTGTAGGCAGCTCGAGAAGCTATATTTGAAGGTGTCACGCAAAAATTCGATCCTGGTGGCCTCGGACCAGCGCCTGGAAGAGCGGCTGTGTCGGGCGCCCAGGGAGTTCGGGCTCAAGCAAGTCCAGGCGACTAAAAACCCGGGGTCGATTTCCAGCTGAGGAGCGGGAAAGGTAGAAATGTCAACCAACAAAGCGTTTGTCGGCTACCAGAGGACGGATTCGTAGGTATCGAGCATTCAGGTTCACCAGGAAGCCTCGTTTACCGTGGAGGACCCACACCAGCCGCGATGCACGCGGTCTCCGCCGCCGGGCCCGGCAACGCTCAGTTGGAGCGGCAGCGTGCATCTACAGGGGCAGCGCTGTTCGGGCTTGCCAAGGGCCGCTGCCGCAGTCTGCAGTTCCTGTTGGCCGAGGTCGAGAAGCTCGACCCTTCTTTCGCGGCCAGTGCTTTACTTTTGCAGATGTGGGTCAGAGCAGTGTTTGAATCCTGGGCCATCGACGCCCAGATGAAGCTTGCCTTCGACTGCGCGGTGAAAACGAGGTCTCACGGGTGGAGGACGGCTCTGGGCCCCGCAGGTGCTGTTGTCCTCACATTGGAGAGACTGGGATGGGAAATCCTTTCTTGATGCATCTGGGTCAACTCGGACGGGGTGACCATTCACGTCAAAAAAGTTGGGTCTAGGACCGCGCAGACCCTAGATGACAAAGCGACCAGGAGGATGCTACGCATCCGTGATGGAGTTTATTTCAATGGTGTTTGGAAACCGCACGTGGAGCCCTTGCGTGCTGAACTTACTAGGTTAAGAGACCTCGGAGATCATCTCGAGGTTAGCCTGCTGATCGCGCAGGTCTCTGGAGGTCCAGTGGCGCCTTCAAGCCAAGGTGGCGGTGCATCATAGGCCCTGGGGCTGCGATGGCTCCAAGGTGTTCAGGAGGGGCCGCGACCGCAGTGGGATGGGGGGAGGCTGCTTTGGCCCTGACGGAACCCGACATCAAGTGGACGAGGGCCCCTGTAGACTCCGAGAGGACCCGGTTTCCAAAGATCCTTCAAGGAGCTGAGATCCGGTGGGCGATCCTGCCTGTCAGCGGCGTGCTAGGGCGTACCGCCTGCATAGACGGCCCGCCCTATGACAGCGATATTCGATGGCTTTTCCGTGCTGGAAGGGCGTTCGTGTCCATCTGCCCGAACATGGAGATTGACGCAGTGGCCTACGGGCCCGGCCCTCTCCCAGTGCAGGGCGTTCCGTCCAGCGAGCTGTACACATTCTACATGGCCGTGTGTCGGATGGGGCCTTGCTAGCACCCACATCATCACGGATTGCATCATGGTGTATGACGGATGGGACACGGGGAGGGGACGGTGAAACCCAACAAGTGTTACGAGAGCTCTGGCGGTCGATCTGGTGCAGGATTGACGACGTCGGCGCAAATTCTGTTGCTGTGAGCTGGATGCCTTCGCATATGACGAGGGCGGCAGCGGAGCAGAGAGGCCACGAGCCTCATTGGTTCAGAGGCAACCAGGAAGCAGACCTTTGGGCCAAGAGGGGTGCCAAGGCGCACCCTGTCAACCATCATCTCGGTGATCGCCTTCGGCATCATCCTGATCAGATTACGTTTATATCCATGTACATGGTGGCTATACTCAAGCATGTCCATCATCTGGGGTATCCTGATGTGTCTCCATACTCTGAGCGTGCCAAAAGAGAGCCTAGGAATTCGGAGGCCCCGATTCTTGTGATAGTCCCAGATGATAAGGGTCACGTTGTCTCGCACGCTCCTGGCGGTGGGTGGGGGTGCAGTGTCTGTGGTGCGTCGCGGGCGATCCGCTCTCGGCTGGTGCAGCTGCTGTGCCTTGGGGTCCCGAGGGTTGTCTCCATGGCCGACCCCGCCCATCGTCTCTGACAAAATGGAGGGGTGACCTGGTGCGTGCGCTGCGGAGCGTATGCCGGTTCGAAAGTCAAAGAATTAGCCCAGAGGTGTTCGGAACAGCCCGGCACCCCATGGAAAGTTAAAGCCCAGGGGATTTTGAAGCAGGGGAAGGACCGTTCGGACTCCAAATTGGAGGCGGCCATCCCTGTCCCCCTCAGGCGCTGCAGGCGCTGACTTTCTGTTCAGGCAGGCGTCTTGTGTCATCGGGGCGATTGCTGAGGAGCGCAAGAGCGCAAGAGGGGAAGGAGGAGGAGGAGGAGGAGGAGGAGGAGGAGGAGGAGAAGGACGAGGAAGAGGAGGAGGCGGAGGAGGAGGAGGAGAAGGGGAAGGAGGAGGAGGAGGAGGAGGAGGAGGAGGAGGAGGCGGGGAGGGGGAAGGGGGAGGAGGAGAAGGAGGGGAGGAGGAGGAGAAGGGGAGGGAAAAAGGCAGGAGGAGGACGAGGCGGAAGCGGAGGCGGAGGAGGAGGAGAGGAGGAGGAGGAGGAGGAGGAGGAGGAGGTGGAGGAGGAGGAGGGAGGAGGAGGAGGGGGAGGAGGAGGAGGAGGAGGAGGAGGTGGTGTTGCAGGCCCAAAGGGGCGAAGCCTCTCCGTACCAACGATGACCTCCAAGGAGCCAGCGGGAGCCTCCGGACAAGCAACGCCAACATCGCTGGAGGTCCTCGGAGCGTGCAGCCCCTCGGGGCGATGGGACCCCCGTGGCACGCTCCTGGCAAGGCGCGGCTGCTGGAGAGCAGCCCCAGGCTGGAAAACCGTCGGGGAGCGACGAAACCAACCGAAGACCACGCACCCGGGGGAAACCACCAGCCTGCTCCTCCTCCTCCTCCTCCTCCTTCTCCTCCTCCTGCTCCTGCTCCTCCTCCTCCTCCTCCTCCTCCCTACTCCTCCCTCCTCCTCCCCTCCTCCCCTCCTCCCTCCTCCCCTCTGCTTCCCCTCCTCCTCCTCCTCCTTCCTCTCCTCTCCTCTCCTCCTCTCCTCCCCCTCCTCCTTCTCCTCCTCCTCCTCCTCCTCCTCCTCCTCGGGTGCGTCCTGACCAGTGCCTCGAGACGGATCCAGCCGTGGCGACGAGGGCTTCCCAGGAGGAGGAGGAGGAGGAGGAGGAGGAGGAGGAACCTCGGAGGAGGAGGGGAGGGACACGAAGGCGGAGGAGGCGGAGGAGGAGGAGGAGGAGGAGAAGGAGGAGGAGGAGGAGGGGGAGGGGAGGAGGCAGGGTGGTGGAGGAGGAGGGAGGAGGGAGCGAATCAACGGAGGAGGGGCGCATCGATGGGGCCTCGCAGGAACCCCCCCCCCTGAGATCTGGCGTTCGCGAGACATCACGACCGGCGCCCTAGTCTCCATCTTTCCGCACCATCTTCGAGCCGGATGGATCCGTGAGGGCCCCCGGTCCGTCCGTTGGGCGCAAGCGCCCGCTGTCGAAACTTGCAGCGCCAGGGCCTGAGGGTCTTCCAGCGGTCTTCCCCTCGGGGCCTGTGCCGAAGCCGCGGGGGCCCGGACCCGCGTGGCTGCTGCCTGCGCGACCTCGGCCCGTGCTGCGGCGGCGGCGCCAAGCGGCCCAGGCCTGGCCATCTCGCGGAGGCCGAGGCCGCGGGCGGGCGCACGACGGAGGGCTTTTGCCATCTTCCGGGGGCCGCTGGGCCCGGTAAAACGACGCGAAGATCGGGACAACATCGGATCGGGATAACTCGAAATCCCTGAGAATCGGCGGGTTTGGAGGATGTATTGGGAGCCGCGGCCGCTCCAGAGCGTTCCGGAACGCTCTGAGAGCGCTCCAGAACGCTTTGGAGCGATTTATCCCGATCCTGGCCCTGCTTTACCCGGGGAGCCTCCAAAAATGATTCGGGATGGAGCACGAGTCGAGACGTCGGGGGTCCGTGTGTGACTCGGGCTGGCCAGCGCCTCGTGACGATCCCGTCATGCATTTTGGCGGTCCCGTTTTCGTGGGATGTCTGCAGCGCGAGCTCGCGTCAAATTTCAGACGACGACGACGACGACGACGACGACGACGACGACGACGACGACGAGTTTTGAACGGACGACGGCGATCGTCGTCGTCGTCCGCCTTCGGAGGTTCCTGTGGGCCTCCAGAGGTTTCCAGAGCCAGAACGGGCCCAAGCCGTCCAGAAACTTGGAACCTGTATCCTCGCCTTCCCCCCCTCTTCCGCATCATCTTACCCCCTTTCCCAAGCCAACCACTACGACGAGGACGACCACGACCTCTACCACGACCACCATGACCAGGACAACGTCGACGATGACGACCAGGACCACGACGTCGACCTCGACGTCGTCGCCGACGACGACGACCAGGATCGCGGCGACCACGACAACGACGACGACGACGACGACGACGACGACGACCACGACGACGACGACGACGACGACGACGACGACGACGACCAGGACCACGGCGACCACGATTACGACGACGACGACGCCAATCTCGACGGCGTCTATGACGACGACCACGACAACAACCACGACCACGACCACGACAACGTCGACGATGACGACCAGGACCACGAAGTCGGATCACGACCTCGACCTCGACGCCGTCGCCGACGACGATGACCAGGATCATGGCGAACACGACTATGACGACGTCGTCGACAACGACGACGACGACGGAGGACGATGACAGAGGACGTCGACGGCGACGACGCCGACGACGACGACGACGGAGGACGACGACGACCACGACGTCGACGACGACCGCCACGGCCTCGGCCTCGGCGGAAGGTCGCCGCGGTGTTCCTCAGCGGCCTCCAGCTGGAGGGCACCGACGCCCTCCTCGCTCTGCGGGGCATCGCCGCCGCGCCCGACGCGTGCCGGGAGCGCGAGGAGGCCGAGAGGCGGAGAGCCGAGGCCACGCCACGCTTGTGTTTGTTGTTTTCTTTTCTTTATTCTTTTTTCTTTTCTAATTATTTTTTCATTTTTTTTTTTTTTTGTTTTATTGTGTTATGTTGTTGTTGCGTGAGGAGAGGTGGAGGAGGAGGAGGAGGAGGAGGAGGAGGAGGAGGAGGAGGAGGAGGAGGGAAGAGGAGGTGGAGAGAGGAGCGAGAGGAGGAGGAGGAGGGGGAAGCAGCGAGCAAGAGGAGGAGGGCAGGAGGAGGAGGAGAGGGAGGAGGAGGAGGGGGAGGAGGAGGAGCAGGGAGGAGGAGAAGAGGAGAAGGAGGAGGTGGAGGAGGGGGGACCAGCGGGGGGAAGTCGCATCGGATGTGCAAGAGAAAACAGAGGGGGGAGGAGGAGAAGGCGGAGCAGGTGGAGTGGGAGGATGAAAGAGAGGATGAGGGGGGAGGGAGAAGGGAGGAAGGGGCGGCGAAGGAGGAGGAGGAGGAGGAGCAAGGAGGCGGAGGACGAGGAGGAGGAGGAGCAGGAGGAGGAGGAGGAGGAGGAGGAGGAGGAGGAGGAGAAGAAGAAGAAGAGGAGGACGATGAAAAGGAAGAGGAAAAGGTGGTGGAGGAGGAGGAGGAGGAATGGAACTGGGAGGGAAGCAGGTGAAGGGGGAGAAGGAGGATACTAAAAAGAAGGACAATCAGGAAGGAAAGGAGGAGGAGGAGGAGGAGGAAGACCAGTGCAAAACCAAGACGCACCAGCGACGTTGCAAGAAAACATCCTTCAAAGTTCCCTTTTCATAGATCTCTAGAACAATCTGCTCTTGCTTCAGAAGTGTCATTGAAAGGCAACCGTCTGAGATTCACGTCCTGGGAGTAAGACGCTGCGACTCAACATGATTGCTGCGTCCTGACAATCCTAAGTTGCGCCCGAACGCCACTCCTGGGACATCAAGCTTGCGGATCCTTAACCCGTTGCACGATTTGTGTACGCGGCGCGAAAGCGAGAACCACGCTTTGACAACGAGCTCCCCATTCTCATGGAAGTTGCTGCAGTGGCTCAGGACGAACGTGCGCGGCGCAACGTCGCCCTCCATCTTGGAGGAGGAGGAGGAGGAGGAGGAGGAGGAGGAGGACGAACGTGGCTCAGGACAAACGTGCCGCCCTCCATCCTTGAAGCTGTTGCAAACGCCACGCGCTGCAGGGTTACACACGGCAAAGGCAGTCTCAGGCGACACGCCCCGCCCGCCCTGCGGGCACGGCCGGGGCCGCGGCAGGGAGAAGTTGTTGATCAAGGAAAGGGAGGGGGAGGGAGAGGGGCAGGGGGAAGGGGAGGAGGAGGAGGAGGAGGAGGAGGAGGAGGAGGAGGAGAAGGAGGAGGACGAGGACGAGGACGAGGAGGAGGAGGCGGAGGAGGAAGAGGAGGAGGAGGAGGAGGAGCAGGAGGAAAAGGAGGAGGCGGAGAGGCGGGGGGGGGGGGGGGGGCGTGCCCGACGCGTGCCGGAGCCGGGAGCCAGGCCGAGGGGCGATGGGCCGAGGGCCGCGCCGCGTTCTGGGTTTTTTGTGGTGCTGCGCAGTTCCGTCGGGGGAGCGCAGGTTGAGTCAGTGGCAGTGGCATGGGGGGAGCATAGTCGCCCCCACCACCCAACCTCCACCCCCCCCCCCCACACCCCCCCACACCCAACACCTCCCCCCCCTTCTCCGCCCCCCTCCCCTCCACCCACGCTGCTGGACGCATCTCGGAAAACTGGTGTCTGAACCCCAGGAGGAGAGGCCCAGGGGCCGATTTTGAGTTGACGTTGTCTCGATGTGCCCTGCATCGACGTCGATGTTGATGCTACTCTGTTTGGGAAGGCTTCGATGCCCAATGGTGTTGCGTCCTCGCCTTGCATGGTATCGGCTGGCCACGACTGTAGATATAACGCGGTAGTGCAGACAGCATTTGGACAGGCTAGGACAAGCCGTCGGACCCAGACCTCCAGGCGCTACGAGCAAAAACAAGAGACGCCAGTGTTGCTCTCGATGCCAGTATCCAGAACAACATATTCGCGATCAAGGCCTGAACTCGCGCAGCGATCCAGGGGCTCCAGGGACAACGGCCGAGGCCCGCGCTCGGAGGTTCCTCGTTATTTTCTGTTGTTCTTGGAGGCCTTCCAGTCGCAAGGCAATATTTTGGCATGAAGGAGGCGGGTCCAGAGGGAAACGGGTCCTGGATCTTGGACCTTTCCCGTGGGAGGTTGTGTTTTGACAGTCCCACTGAGGTGTCCGCTGAGGTTGCAAAGGGGATAGGGGGCTTAGAAGCTCACGCTAAGGTGGGCTATATATGATCCAGGGTCGAGGGCCCACGGGCCCCCCCCCCCAGATGGTATGGTCCCAGGATTCCTCGGGCCCCCCCCCCCAGATGGTATGGTCCCAGAGACGACGACGACGACGACGACGACGACGACGACGACGACGACGACGACGACGACGACGACGACGACGACGACGGCTGCGACGACGGCGACGACGGCGACGACGGCGACGACGACGGCGACGACGACGACGACGACGACCACGACGACAACAACGACGGCTGCGGCGGCGACGACGCCGACGGCGGCGGCGACGACGACGATGACGACGATGACGACGGCGACGACGACGATGACGACGACGACGATGACGACGACGACGATGACGACGACGACGACCAGGACGACGAGGACGACGAGGACGACGAGGACGACGAGGACGACGACGACGACGACGACGACGACGACCTCTGAACCACCACAGCACCACACCACATCCACAGGGGGGGGGGAGGGGGGCACCGCAGTGCAACACCACGCCACGCCCACCTCTGAACCACCACAGCACCACACCACATCCACAGGGGGGGGGGGAACCGCAGCGCAGCACCACGCCACGCCCACAGGGGGGGGCGGGGGGGACCATCGCGCGGGGGGGGGGGGGCCCAATGGCAACAGCAGTGGGGGGGGGGGGGCCCAACCCTGGACCATATATGGCCTAGTCTGGCGCTCAAGTGGGTCACAAGTGCCATAAATTGTCTGAGCGGGTCGATAACTCCGCTTAGTGGGCGGAGCCCCCTTTGCCCGGATCGCTAATCCCCCTAAACCAATCGGGGCATTTGCAACCCATGTATAAAGTAGGTTCGGCCAGATATCATCTACCTTATCAGCGGACTTGTTCTGTACATCCATCCGTTAATTGTTTCGTTTCAAAATATTTGTTGTATGTTTAATCTTTGTTGAGGGAACTTGTTTGGGGTGGACGGTGTCTGTGTTTCTGGTTGTGTCCGTGAGACGCAATGGGTAGCTGCATTTCGAGCTCGCCCCCCTCCCCATTCCTCACATCAGTTCTCCCGCAGGGCAATCCTTCAGGGCATTCCTACGGCCCGTTAATCAAGGGCATAAAAAAACGCCCCTACCCTGGTTAACGAGGCGCTGTGCGCTGAAACTCCTGTGGGCTGACAGGGTAAACCCTGCGTGATGTGCCGCGTCCTGGCGGCTCTAGGCTTTGGGGGTTCCCAGGAGGTTTACAGACCACGCACTTGTAATCCAGGGTAGGGTCGTTTTTTTCATCCCTCAAGTTAAGGAGATTCGTCAAAGCATCCCGAAAACGGTGTTCTTCAACGGGGACTGGCCGGGGCCGATCTGCAGGGGAAGCTTTGCAGGGGCGCGTCCGTTCGCCGGGCGACCGGGCAACGGAGCCCCGGGGACGGGGCCCCGGGTGTGGGCAGGGGCAATTGCCCCGCCCCCGTTTCCCATTCCATCCCCGGCACTTCCACCGGGCACGACAAGGCGGGAGAATCGACGACACGAGGTCGTGGTTTCACAGTGGAAGTCCAAAGGGTTCGCAGCCGACTGGCGAGTTTCCGAGCAACTTGAGAAACAAAAAACAAGAAGGAGCATTATTCGTCGTGTTGGACCACAGGGCCCCGAGCGCTGAATCATAGCATCCGCTTCTAAGCCCACGGCGACCAATCTCAGCAACCGCAGCGGCCATCTCAGCAGGGCCCGAAGAGGGCCCCGGCAGCCAGAAAAGGGGGAACAGTTGGTGAGGTTTTCCCAGCGACCGCGCCTCGCGAAGAGCCGCGCCGAAGTCCGCAGAGGCGCCCCGAGCGGCCAAACCCCGGGGCAGAAGAGGTCCGAGAGAGCCTCCTCCGAGCGCCCCGAGGATGAGGACAACACAGCTCAGGGGCAACGATAAGTGGGTTTTCGAGTGGTTTCGTTGGCTCTCGGTGGTGTTCCAGTCTCAAGGTGCGTTTCAGCATCTGCCCCTTGCCGAGAAGCGTCTGAGGGTGCCCAGATCGACCCGGAGGGGGGGGGTTAGGATGAAGAGGGGACGCATCGACCCCCGAGCGCACACTCATCGCCGATAGGGGCCCGACAGCCTTACCTGCCTAAGAAAGTGCGCGGATTTGTGGTCGGGGGCCTATCTCCGATCTGTCGGCGATGTATCGCCGGCTGGTCCCCCGCATCGTTGCCCCTCAGCAAGACACCCCCACCAGCACCACCCAGGACCGCCTCTGATCCATGCCCCTATGAAATGGCACATCCCCGGCAATCTTGTACATTTCCCAGTGGCACAGGGGAATGTACCAGTTTGCGGGCGCTCCTCCGGCGAATACTTCGAACGGGGCAGTCCAGCAAGGTCTGAACACCAAATTGTTAGGCTTACGTGCAGTACTTGGAACGTGAATGGGACGCATATGGCAAGTATACCAAACGTATCCAAAACTAATACGGAACGTATATGAGACTTTGTACGAAACGCATGCGGAACGTATACGAAGCGTACAGCACGTGTGCGAAACACATACGAAGTGCATACACAATGTATACATAACCTCCGTACGAAACGTATACGACACGTGCACGAAACGTATACGACACGTATACGAAACGTGTACGAGGACATCTACGAAGTGTATACGGAACGTGCGCAACATGCATATGCATCGTATAAGAAGCGCCCACAAAAAAAACAACAACAACAAAACACAAACTACAAACATTGTATGGGACGCGCACGCTACGTATACAGCGCGCATACAGCACGTTTTCGAAACGCATAGACGGCGCTTATACAAAGTATTCAAAACGTGTACAACACGCATACAACACGACCACTAAACGCATACAGCACGCATCCGGCAATTGCCCGGCACGTATACACAATACAACACGTATGCACAACGTATACGCAACGCATACGAAATTTCTGCGATAAGTAACGCCAGCGTACCAAGCACAGCATACGAAACGCTCACCAACCCATTCGCAACGTCTATCCAACGCGGACAACACGTATACGGCACGTATTGAAAACTTGCACAACATGTGCACGGCACGTATAGGTTTCCTTTTGATCCCTGAGAAAGAGCGCGTTCTGTGGTCGCTTGGAGGGGGGGGGGGGTGGAACCGGCTCCCCCCCCCTGGATTGAAGGCGGGGGGGTTTCAACCGCCCCCCTCTCTCGCTCCTCTCCTCCTTCTCTTTCCCTCTCCTCGGGCTGGCGCCGGCGTCTCCAATGCAGCGTGCCGCGGTGGCAGTCCGCGGAAGCCGCCGCGCGAGGTCGCTGTGCCATCTCGCGTGAGGCCCGTTTTTGATCGTCGCTCGGGTGGGTTTCGAGCCCCTCCGACGGGCTTCTGAGGGACATTTCTGAAGCCTCCTGGGCGCCTTTTGGGCGTCTCTCGGGGCCTCTCTGAGGTGGTGGTGGTGGTGGTGGGTTGTGGTGGTGCTGGTGGTGGGTGGTGGCGGTGGTGGTGGACGTGGTGGTGGTGGTGAGGTGGTTGTTGGTGGTGGTGGTGCTGGTGGTTGTGGTGGTTGATGTGGTGGCGGTGGTCGTGGTGTGGTCGTTTGTGGTGGTGGTGGTGGTGGTGGTAGTTGTGGTGGTGGATTGTGGTGGTGGTGTTGGTGGCGGCGGTGGTGTGGTGGTTTGTCGTGGTAGTTGTGGTGGTGGTGGTTGTGTCTGTGCCGCGAAGTGGATTGCCTTGGGGGTGTTGGTGGTGGCGGTGGTGGTGATTGTTGTGGTGGTGGTGGCGGTGGCGGTGGTGGGTGTAGTGGTGGCAGGTCGTTGTGGTGGTGGAGGTGGTGGTTGTGGCGGTGGTGGTGGTGTGGTGGTTTGTGGTCGTGGCGGTGGTGGTGGTGGTGGTGGTGGTGTGTTGGTTTGTGGTGGTGGTGGTGGTGGTGGTTGTGGTGCGGTGATGGTGGTTGTGTGGTGCGTGGAGGTGGTGGTGCGTTGTGGTGGTGGTGCGTTGTGGTGACGGTGGTGGTGGTGGTGGTGTGGTGTTTTGTTGTGGTAGTAGTGGTTGTGTTGGTGGTGGTGGTGGGGTGGTGGTGGTGGGTTGTTGTTGGTGGTGGGGTAGTGGTGGTGGTGATGATGATGGTATGCTGGTTTATGGTGGTGGTTGTGGTGGTTGTGGTGGGTAGTGGTGGGTTGTGTTGTGGTGGTGGTGGCGGTTGTGGTGGTTGTGGTGGTGTCCGGTAATTTGTAGTGGTGGGGGTGGTGGTTTTGGTGGTTTGTGGTGGTTGTGGTAGTGGTGGTGTGGTGGTGGTGGCGGTGGTGGTGGTGGTGGTGGTGTGGTGGTGGGTTGTGGTGATGGTGGTGTTGGTGGTGGTGTGGCCTTCGGGTCTTCCTTTCACCGTGTCTTGGCTTTGGGTTGTAGTTCCAATGGGTGCCTCCTGGGGTTCGTCAGAGGGGTCGTGGGGGCGTCTGGGGAGCATGTGTGAGAGCTCCTGGGCGCCTCTTGGGTGTCTCTGGGAACTTCTTCATTGCCCCCAGTGGCTTTTGGGAAGCAAAGGCTCGATATGGCAATTTGTAATTTCCCGTGGCGGCTTCTGGGCTATCTTTGGTCATCGTCGCTGCGGTTGCCGTTGGTGCTGATGGCCGCCGCCAGCGCAGGCGCCAGAACCGGCACCGAGGAGAGAGAGGAGGGGGGGGCGGTTCGACCCCCCCCCCTGGAAGCAGGAAGAGACAATTTTGGGGGAGTTTGAATATCCTGCTTCTTTCCGGGGGGGTGGCGGTTGGACCCCCCTCCCCCCCTGGGAGAGGGGGGGGGTTCGGGAGGGAGGGGGTGTTGGGGGGGGGGGGGGGGGGGGGGGGGGCACCCCCCGGTTCGAAACGCGTCGCCGAATTTTCCCAAGGCAAGCGCCAGTGAAACGCGGCATCTCATCCCTGAGGACTCTTTGGGAGTCTTTAGGATTCTGCAGGATTCTTGATCATCCCTTGGGCTTCTGAGTATGTTCAAGATTCGTAAGGATTCCTTCGAATTCTTGCGGGATCCTGGGGATCCCTGAGGATTATTTCGGAGTCTCCTTAAGGATTTCGGAGGATTCTTGAGGATCCCAGAGGATTCTTGAGGATCCAAGCAAGTCCTGAAGATCCCGAAAGATTTTTGAAGATTTCTGGGGATTCTTCAGGATCCCGATTGTTTCCTGAGGATCCCTGAGGATTTCCTGAGGGTTTCTTGGGGGATTCATGCGGGCCCCAAGGGATTACCAAAGGATCCTGGAGGATGCCGGGATCCCTAAGGCTTTCAGCGGATCCTGAACTATTCTTGAAAATGTTTGACGACCCCAAAGATTTCCTGAAGATTATTCAGAATTCCTCCGCATTCTTCAAGGTTCTTGAGAGTCCCTGAGGATCCCGTGGAATTCTCAGTGTACCTTAAGATCCCTGAAGATCTCTGAGGGCGCCTGCCAAGGAACGCCGTAGAAGCTGTCGAGGAGCACCTTAGACGCTACCCAGTAGGTTGTTCGAAGCTGCCAAGGAGCTCCTTGAAAGGTTGTGTAGCTTTTGTACTCGTTTCAGAAGCCTCTGAAACCAGAACGGGGGAATGTTTCAGTTCACCAGGGAACGGACCAGTTTACAGGGGAATGTATCCGTTCATTGGGAAATGAACCAGCTCACTGGGGAATGTATTTTTCCAGCCAGGACCCCCACTCCCGATCTGGTAATCCAGGGGCTCCTGGCTGGGGGTGAGAGGGTGTTTTTGTTGAGAGGTTTTTGGGGGGCCAGGAGCAGCCCTCATCCGCGAGGCTTCTTGGGGTGCCTTCCTGAGAGGCCCACCTGACGCATCTCTTCGGCACGAGTGGGGCAGGTGGCTCCAGGAAGGCCCCCAGAGCGAGCAGCTAACTCTCGCGCGGGGATGGCGGCAGGAGAGCGGTGGGAGAGCTGCGACATCTTGCAGCGATCAATGTCCCCCCTCCCCAGACCCCCGACGTCATGATTTTTTCATGACGTCGACCCCCAGAGGTTTGGACCCATTCCCCAGGACCGGTTTTTCATCCTGAATCGTTTTTTGACGGTCCCGAGGCCCGGTAGGGGCCCCCCAAAGCCACAAATAGCGAAAAACCTCTCGTCGTGATTTTTTCATGACTCGAGGGGGTCTGGGCATGTCCCCCCTCTGCTGATCAGGGCCAGGAGCCCTGGCTCAGCGCTCCGCGTGTCGCGCCGCCGCTCCTGGCCCCAACGCGCTTCGGCGGGACCCCCGCGCCCGGCCCCGCCCCCCGGGGGAGGGGGGGGGGCGGACTTCGCGGGGGGGGGCTGCGGACCGCAGGAGGAGAGGCGCGCGGCCGAGGAGGCGGCCGAGCGGGAGTGCAAGGAGCTTCCGCCCCTCCGCCCGGCCTCCCCCGCCTCGCCTACCTCGGGGGGGGGGGGGTCGGGAGCGGAAAAGAGGGGGGTGATGACTAGGGGGGGTGGATTTCATGGCGCGGGCCATGATTTTTCCCCAAATTTCATGGCGCCTCTTCTTATTTCATTACGTCCCAGGCCCCCCCGCTGGGCCGCGCACATGCCGCCGGTCATGATTTGCACCCCCTCCTCTTGGACACCCCCCTCTTGGCCTTCCCGCCGCGGCGTGCCTGCCAGCAGCCGTGCTCCGCCGGGGGGGCGTTCTGGGGGTGCCCGGAGCGTCCCGAACGGCCGCCGGAGGCCCGAGTTTCAGGAGGCGACAAGACACACAGACACAATTAATCGTCGATCCCCGAGAAGATATGGGAAAATATGGGAATTTGGCGGGAAGACAAAAACCCAGAAAGTATGGGAAAATATGGGGGATATGTTTATTTGTTTTTTTTATTTGTGTGTCCCAGGGCCCCTTCATTGTGACCCGAAAGCCGCCATGGAATTTGGAAGTCCTGGCATGGCAAACGTTGTCTATAGCGGGCGATTTTTTGCCCAGCGCCGGGCCCCAGGACCCCGACGGGTCAACCCGGCTCGGAAGATGCCGACGGATGGTGGCGCTGCAATTTGTTCCACAGCGGGCGAGTGCGCCCAGTTTCGGGCTCTGGGAGGACTGAGGTCCGGATTGCTCGACTGATATTTTGTTCCCAACCATCCTGTGGTGTCGGGTCCTCGTTTTGAAGAGACGGCGCCCCGCATCCTCGATCCCGTTGCCCCCTCCCCCATCTTCTCATCAGCATCGTCATCAGCATCATCGTCATCATCCTCATCATCATCGTCATCATCATCATCAGCAGCAGCAGCAGCATCATCAACATGAACATGAAGGCCGCAGTAGCAGGGTTCGCATGGCGCCACCGCGCCCATTTCGGCACACCCCTCACACGTTTCGTGGCCCCATAGGGAGCTCCACCGAAGGCTTCACAAGCAGGGCTCGCATGGCGCCACCGCACCTATTTCGGCAAACCCCTCACGCGTTTCGTGGCCCCACAGGGAGCTCCACCGAAGGGCTCAGTGGCAGGGTTCGCATGGCGCCACCGCGCCCATTTCGGCACACCCCTCAAGCGTTTCGCGGCCCCATAAGGAGCTCCACCGAAGGCTTCACAAGCAGGGTTCGCATGACGCCACCGCACCTATTTCGGCTAACCCCTCACGGGTTTCGTGGCCCGATAAGGAACTCCACCGAACGCCCCGCGGCAGGGTTCGCATGGCGCCACCGCGCCCATTTCGGCACACCCCTCACACGCTCTGTGGCCCCATACAGGGGCTCCACCGAAGGCCCCAGTGGCAGGGTTCGCATGACGCCACCGCGCCCATTTCGGCACACCCCTTACAAGTTCCGTGGCCCCATAGGGAGCTCCACCGAAGGCCCTAGGGTTCGCATGGCGCCACCGCACCCATTCCGGTACGCCCTTCACACGCTTCGTGGCCGCATAGGGAGATCCACCGAAGGCCCCAGTAGCAGGGTTCGCATGGCGCCACCGCGCCTATTTCGGCACACCCCTTACACGCTTCGTGGCTCCACAGGGAGCTCGCCGAGGCCACAGTTGCAGGGCTCGCATGGCGCCACCGCGCCCATTTCGGCACGCCCCTCATATGTTTCCTGGCCCCACAGGGAGATCCACCGAAGGCGGGGCTCACAATTGCGGTACCCACAATTTCATATGTATGTGTCCTTCGCCTGGATATTTCCCAACCATCTTGTGGTGTTGGGTTTTCGTTTTGAAGAGACGGCGCCCCGCATCCTCGATCCCGTTGCCCCCTCCCCCATCTTCTCATCAGCATCGTCATCAGCATCATCGTCATCATCCTCATCATCATCGTCATCATCATCATCATCATCATCATCATCAGCAGCAGCAGCAGCAGCAGCAGCATCATCAACATGAACATGAAGGCCGCAGTAGCAGGGTTCGCATGGCGCCACCGCGCCCATTTCGGCACACCCCTCACACGTTTCGTGGCCCCATAGGGAGCTCCACCGAAGGCTTCACAAGCAGGGCTCGCATGGCGCCACCGCACCTATTTCGGCAAACCCCTCACGCGTTTCGTGGCCCCACAGGGAGCTCCACCGAAGGGCTCAGTGGCAGGGTTCGCATGGCGCCACCGCGCCCATTTCGGCACACCCCTCAAGCGTTTCGCGGCCCCATAAGGAGCTCCACCGAAGGCTTCACAATCAGGGCTCGCATGGCGCCACCGCACCTATTTCGGCTAACCCCTCACGGGTTTCGTGGCCCGATAAGGAACTCCACCGAACGCCCCGCGGCAGGGTTCGCATGGCGCCACCGCGCCCATTTCGGCACACCCCTCACACGTTCTGTGGCCCCATACAGGGGGCCCCACCGAAGGCCCCAGTGGCAGGGTTCGCATGACGCCACCGCGCCCATTTCGGCACACCCCTTACAAGTTCCGTGGCCCCATAGGGAGCTCCACCGAAGGCCCTAGGGTTCGCATGGCGCCACCGCACCCATTCCGGTACGCCCTTCACACGCTTCGTGGCCGCATAGGGAGATCCACCGAAGGCCCCAGTAGCAGGGTTCGCATGGCGCCACCGCGCCTATTTCGGCACACCCCTTACACGCTTCGTGGCTCCACAGGGAGCTCGCCGAGGCCACAGTTGCAGGGCTCGCATGGCGCCACCGCGCCCATTTCGGCACGCCCCTCATATGTTTCCTGGCCCCACAGGGAGATCCACCGAAGGCGGGGCTCACAATTGCGGTACCCACAATTTCATATGTATGTGTCCTTCGCCTGGATATTTCCCAACCATCTTGTGGTGTTGGGTTTTCGTTTTGAAGAGGCAGCGCCCCGCGTTCCCTCCTCCCTCCTCCCTCCTCCTCCCCCTCCTCTCTCCTGCCCCTCCTTGCCTCTGCCCTCCGCATGTCCTCACACGTCGGCACACCCCCCACACGCTTCGTGACCCCACTGGGGGCTCCACCGAAGCCCCCAGTGGCAGGGTTTGCATGGCGCCACCGCGCCCATTTCGGCACACTCCCCACGCGGTTCGTGGCCCCGTAGGGGGCTCCACCGAAGGCCCCATTGGCAGGGTTTGCATGGCGCCACCGCGCCCATTTCGGCACACTCCCCACGCGGTTCGTGGCCCCATAGGGGGCTTCACCGAAGGCCCCATTGGCAGGGTTTGCATGGCGCCACCGCACCCATGTCGGCACGCCCCTCACGCGTATCGTGGCCCCGTAGGGAGCTCCACCGCCGGCCCCAATGACAGGGTTTGCATGACCCCTGCAGATTCTTAGGGACTCATCAGAACCCTTTCAGATTCCTGTGGGTTTCTAAAAATCCATATTCCTAGGGATCCATAAGAATATTTCTGTATTCTTGGGAGGGGGGCAAAGAATTTAGTCAACGGGGCTTGCGGGCAGGGTTCGTACCTTGGGGGGAAGGAGCCTGGGGCTCGCGGGTGATGTTCGTATCTTGAATAATAATAATTATTGTTGATCCCCCCCGTCCGGTGCACATGGTTTTTTCGATTGAAGTGCCCTTCCCGGGGCTCGCACCTTGTTTTTTGTAAGGGAAAGTACTGAGGGTCAAACTACGTGGTTGGCCTCCGGTCTACAATAAGAACGGCTCCCGCCTGATACTTCTTCACAATTTATTGAAGAATCGCGTTCTCGCTTGGGACTTCCTTGCAATTTGCCACCGGATCGCGGCTCCCGCTTGATACTTCCTCACGATGTATTGAAGAATCGCGCTCTCGCTTGGGACTTCCTCGCACTTTACCACCGGATCGCGGCTCCCTCTGGATATTTCTTCACAATTTATTCAGATGGTGCTCCTCGACACTTAGGAATCGCGCTCCCGCTACATACAGCCTGGCCGTTCAAGCAGAATTTACGCTTCCACGACCCGCCCGCTCGACCCGCCCGTCTGGGCCTGCCCGCCCGACCAGCCCGTTAGGGACTGCAGTCGCCGCTCGTTGCCCTTCGCCCGCCTTCGGTGCCCCTCGCTGCCCGTACTGGTTCCGCGGTCGCCTTCGCTCGCTGCCCTTCGTGGCCCCGTCGCTGCCCATTGTGGCCCCGCATTATATGCCCTTCTTGGCCCCCGCTCGCAGTCGCCCGTCGTGGCCCCATACGCATGCCCTTCGTAGCCCAGTGTCGCCCTTCGTGGCCCTCTCGCTGCCCTTCGTGGCCCCTTTGCTGCCCTCAGTGGCCCAGCTGTCGCCCTTTGTGGCCCCATATACGAATGCCCTTCGTGGCCCCCGCTCGTTCGCGCCCGTCGTGGCCCCATATGCATGCCTTTCGTGGCTTCACCAACCACACGTGGCAGGGAATGAATGAATATACCCCCAAAAAGGGGTACGATCGAAGACGAAGAGGGCGGGTATCCAGGGTTTGGGATATGCATATTGAATGACACGCGAGCAGATAGGAGTGAACAGTCTTAAAATGGTTGTTGCTGTTGGTGGTGGTGGTGGTGGTGGTGGTGGTGGTGGTGGTGGTGGTGGTGGTGTTGGTGGTGTTGGTGGTGGTGGTGGTGGTGTTGTCGCTGTTGTTGCTGTTGTTGTTGTTGTTGTTGTTGTTGTTGGTGGTGGTGGTGGTGGTGGTGGTGGTGGTGGTGGTGGTGGTGGTGGTGTTGGTGTTGGTGTTGGTGTTGGTGTTGGTGTTGGTGTTGTGGTTGTTGTTGTGGTTGTTGTTGTTGGATCATGGGGGCGGTGGCCTCACCCACCTGGTCTGGGTCAGGCCTGGACGGTTGTCCGCAGAGGCGACCAGTCGTCCGTCCCTCTCCCAGATTGGAGCTGGCTGGGTGGCTGAAACGCGGCATCTCTTTGGTTCCAGCCGGGAGGGAGACAGGGAGGGGCGCCACTGTACAGAAGGTGTCTTCCCTCGTCTCCCATGGGCCG